TTTTTGGTAAAAAATCCGTGCATATTAATTACCTAATTTGCATGATAATTAGCTATTTTTTAGTGGTTCCATGACTGTTCCACTGATATCTAAACAGCCACTCATTGGATTTTGATGAAACTTGGTACATAGATGCTCTGAACTAATGCTAGGTTTTGATTAGTTTTTGGTAATAATCTGGATACTGATTACCTAATTTGCATAATGATTAGTCAATTTTCTGTTTTTCCACTGATATCTCAAGTACTAATTATCACATTTCAATGAAACTTGGTACTTACATACTCAAGAACTATGCAGAGATTGATTGTTTCGGATAAATATTTGTGCATATTAATCACCTAATTTGCATAGTTAGTTACTTTTCAGCTTTTCCACGGGTATTTCAAGTACTAATCATCGCATTTCAATGAAACTTGGTACATAGATCCTTTAGGACTATGCAGAGACCTGATTAGTTTTAGGGTAAATAATTGTGCATATTAATTACCTAATTTGAATAATTAATTTTCAGCTTTTCTACTGATATCTAAAGTTCTAATCATCACATTTCAATGAATCTAGAATTATGCAGAGACCCAATTAGTTTTCGGTAAATATTTGTGCATATTAACCACCTAATTTGGATAATTAACCAATTTCCAACTTTCACACTGATATCTCAGGTACTAATCATCACATATCAATGAATGTTTGTACATGGATGCTGTAGGACAATAGACAGACCTGGATAATTGTGGGTTAAAATCTGTACATATTAATTACCTAATATGCATAATTAACCAATTTTAAGCTTTCACACTGATATCTAAAGTACTAATTATTCCATTTCAATGAAATTTAGTACAAACAATGTACAAACCTAATTAGTTTCGGGTAAAAATCTGTTCACATTAATTCCCAAATTAGCATAATAATTCAAAATTTGTTGGTTCTAATCACATTTCAAATAAACTTGGTACAAAGATTTTTTGTTACATTGCGCAGACCTCATTAGTTCTACACTCAAATCTGTTCATATTTTGTATTTCTGATTTGCATAATTAGTTTTCAGCTAAGTAATTTCAAATTATATTTAATGTGTCGCCAATACTCTCAGCACATGGGAGTTCTTTCTAAGCTTTCTTTGATTCTTATTTTTCGTGAATGATTTATTATGACAGCATTTAATGGTTCATTTTGCTTTTTTCTAGGAATTGGAGGGTTTATAGTTCGGCCGCGTGGCCGTGGTGGATTTTTAAATAAACTGGCAAATAGAAAAATATCAGCTATTCTTGATAGGCAGTTGTATAACCAAAATTCTCAAGAAGGTATTTGTTGTTTTTATTATTTATTATTCTACAAATAACACTGAAAACAATACGATTTTCAATTCTGTGAAAAGACTTATCAGTACTTGTATGGATGCTCAAACTTTCTCTTATATGGGCACACTACATCACCAACATTGACGCATTAGAAATTATTGACGTCACATTCAAACACTTCCTATCATTCATATTGTGTTCATCTCTGTAGCGATAATGAGTTTTAAATGCTGAACCACAACTACAAAGTTACGTTTACAAAAATAGATACATGGTGTTCATAAGACTGTAAATTTATTTCCGAACATATTGAACAGTAGTAAATAATGTCACTTGATTCTAAACTCGCTCCACGCAAGATCTTCTCAGAAGTTGGAAATTTGTTTTCCCATGTGGCTTTGTACTTAAATCACAAATTTCATATATCAATGTAAATCAGGAAATTTTGTAGCAGTGAAAATGTCTCTTGAGTTCCTACATGGGATTTCAGCGACGTTCGCTTTTTTTTTTACGAATGCCATAAACTCATCAAATATTGAAAATTTCTAGCAGCAAAAATTAAATGGTTTACAATAAATGCATAAATATTAAATAAATATTAATAATTAATATTGCATTACAGGTGAAATGGGTGGGGATGAGCAAGGTCACTCGGAACAAGGACCTGATGGAATGGGTGAAAAAAAGAAAAGGAAACGACGAAAGAAAACTCAACTAGAACATGCCTTTCCAACCTACTTGCAGGTTAGTCGCCAATAAGACAATAGTTTTTTTCTAGTTGAAATAAAGTGTAATCAAACTAATTCTTTCCTTGCTGTCCACAAACAATGTTGTCTGACATTTTCAAATTGAATATTGTGTTTGCAGGAGGCATTTTTTGGGAAAAGTTTACTGACATCGAGCAAACATGCCAAGGGAGCAACTGACCTTTCAGCTGAGTTTGACATTACAAATAAAGAACAAGCAGCACTGATGGACACTGCCCAACCTAAGACTCTACCTGTACCCCTACCCGTAGTGCCAACCTCTGTTGCTATGACGACGACCACAACCACAACTGATGTAGCACAGAATGAGAATGTTGACGGAAATGACTTGGGAAACACAGACGACCCGTTGAATTTTCTACCACACGATGATGAATTATTCGGCATCCTGAGTGATCTCAATAAGGATACATCTGGTAAGGGCAAAAAAAAAAAGAAGTTTTCTATTCCTTCTCACCTGTTTAAAAAGTGCCCTTGACAACTTTCCAGTGGAAAACTATGCAGTCTATGATCATAAACAAAAGCAATTACTTTTTGGCCATGTGAGGGTGCTATTTGTACACCTTTGTCAATTTACTGTTGAGCATACTGTTCTTGCATTGAAAAAAAAAATGTCAATGACAAACAAGCTGCTTTCTGATTGGTCTGACAATTAGGTGTTAGGGTTGGGTAGCCAATCAGTAAGTGGCTTGCATTGACCCTGTATGTCAGAATCTATTTTTGTGAGTTGGCAAACATTTACAAACTTTTCCACAGAATTATTATCTCAGTAATGTATGGCAGATACAGTAAATGTATGAATTATTCACTGGTTTTTATTTCACTATTTTCACTGATGTTCAGTGTGCAGTAGCAGGTATGGTATTTTGCGAAATATTTTGCTATGGTAGTTGTTTGGTAATTTACATATTGTATTACTATTGTAGCTATTGACATAGGTGCAGTGACTGAAGTTGCTACACCAGACACTGTTGCTACTAGAGATGCCGCAAGAACCACCTCTACTAGTGATCAAATGGCAGAGTTAGACGTGGATGATATTGATAAAATAGTCACAGAAGGTATGTGTTCAACTATTCTGTGTTTATTTGAGAAGTTTGAGCCATATTAACGCTTACTGTGAAATATTTTATTTTAGCTGGAATTAATTTTCGCTGAAAAAACTTTTTGGGTTGGCTAAATGTGGATGATATTTATGATATAGTAATAAAAGGTTAAATTTTTCTGTGTCACAGTCACTTGAACGTCTTAAAATAACTCACTTTCTTGCATAGCTACAGCTCAAGGCAAATATTGTAGCTTGACAAAAGTCATGGCTAAGACACTTTTGGGACAGTAATTTTTGAAACTTGTGATCTGTGTGATCTGCTGTTATAAACTCCATTGAAAAAAATTTAGGGTAGACACACCAATTGCCTGTAATTGAACCGAAATGAAATTTGCAGAATAAAAAATAAAAACCTGCCTGTCTTAGTTTCACATCATACATATCTTTGCCTGTGAAAATCACAAGAGTTCTATCAATTTGCCGAAATGTCACTCTCTGAAGCAGCATTAAAGATCCAGGATTACCAATATAATAATATTAAATCAATTGTTGTGTTGTAGGACTTGCCCAAATGGATGGCAAAGAAATGGACGAGATTCTATCTGGAATGTTGAGTCCACATGAACAAACAAATACACAAACTCATCTCCACCCAGAAGGTAAGCAAAGCAATTTTTATTTGATGTTAAAATGTGTACAAACAGGTTGAGGTTGTTGTAACTGTGCACTTGGTTAGGAATCACGTATAATCACATATTAGCACACTTACAATCAAACTAAAACAAACAAAAACAATGACTTTATTTATTTTTACGGTTCGTGGCGTGTTGTGATGATAAAATATTAGATGTGACCCAGCTGTCTATCTCCTGTTGTCATATAGCAGTGCGTTAACTGCACATGTGTGATGTTGGTAAGAAGAAAACACAAAGTAGAAGAAAAATTGAAAGTTGTTCTTGTTGTCCTTAAATAAATACAAATTTCTGATGATTTTTATGAATTCTATTCAACAGGTGGTGAAATTCCTTTCTCGATTGGTGAAAATGCTGTAGTTTCCACCAGTACCACTGTTGTTACATCACAGACACTGGGTCCACAGCAAAGACCAACACCACCGACAACGCTGCCATTACATCCCTCATTTCCACCGCAGCAGCCTCCGCCACCACCACCTCATCCACACCATCATATGGGTATGGGTAATCCGGTATTCAGTCCCGATTTCACACCACCGCAAAGTCCGTGGCCAACGCCGCCAGTGTCTGAACCCGATGTGGAGACATTAACATATAACCAACGCAATGTTCTGAAATGGGAGAAAGATGAACCACTTGGGGAGATGGCTACCATATCAGCTGTATTATATGCAAATATTAACTATCCAGATCTACATAAAGAATACCCAGGTAACCCATAAAATTGTTAACTAGCTAGTATGCAACTAGCGCATACAGATGACCCTATTCATTCATTCTAGTATCCCATGTGATGTAAATAACAGAGGTGTGTCTGGTCAGTGTGAATCTTTTTTTAATGATCCAGCATAAAATAAATAAGGTACTTGTATATTATTAATTATAAGTGTTGTCCCATAGTCTTTTTTGTGTAGCCCACAGTGCTGATTAAAGGAAAAAATATGAATCAGTTAGTATGACATTGACACTGCAAATAAGCAAATAATTCATGCCAATTTCGTTCACTGATCTTGAGATAGAATCCTAGTCATAATTTTTGACAAAATTGGTCATAAATTGCATGACAATGTTCATTAGTTTATTATGTGCAATCATAAAACTAATGTCCCATGGTACAATGAAATAGCATTATTTTGTGTGTTACAGTTAAGCTTTTTGAGAAATGTGTCCTAATATTTCTTGAAA